TTACTCGGCTCCATTGCTGTAAAAATGCCATATGAATAATAAAGAAAAACTAGCTTCACCCACCAACTGTTAACAAGCAGGCGCGCGTATGTAAGATATAAAAAATTTAATACAAAATATTTAGCCCTGCAGGAAAATCGAAGGCAGATAAACTACACACAGCTATAAAATATGTTATGCGTCTGCATACGTTTGTGTGTGGCTTCAACATGTGATTACTCGGCTCCATTGCTGTAAAAATGCCATATGAATAATAAAGAAAAACTAGCTTCACCCACCAACTGTTAACAAGCAGGCGCGCGTATGTAAGATATAAAAAATTTAATACAAAATATTTAGCCCTGCAGGAAAATCGAAGGCAGATAAACTACACACATACATTATGATATTAAAATAGCTGAGCATCAACTTTTGCTAATGTAAGACGATAAAATATAACTTTGGAGCATGTTGCAAGAGTTAGACAGGGCTTTAAATAAACTGTTGAATAGAGTCGTGTGTCCAAGGAACCGTCTCCTAGGAACATCCAGAGGTTCTTCCTTGATTACATCGACGATATGGGACAGTACACCGACCAGACTTCGGACGCAACGAACTTTAGACATGCCCTGACCGCCATTCACAGTGGAGCCATCAACACCTTCACCCATCGCATACGAAGAGCTCGAGTTGCCACGAGAATCTAGAGTGACCCTTGTACGACTTCGTTTTGGATACTGTAGCAGGTTAAACTCCTACTTATTCAGAGTCGACTCCGACATACTAAATATATGTCCTGCATGCAATGCGTCTCCGCATGACACTAACCACCTTCTTGCTTACCCAACGAACCCCACTCATCTAACACGCTTCTCCCTATGGACCGACCCCGCCGAAACAGCTCGTTTCCTGGGCCTCCCGTTAGATGACCTCGACGACAACTAAACTGAAATTTACCACCCAAGCGGGGATTAGATAACCATTACAACAACAACAACGCGCGACATAAACGGCTTGCAACCAATTTCCTTGTGGGTATGTGCGTACGATAAATAATGTTGCATTGAAATGTACACACATCTCCCTTAATGACTTGTTGAGGCCTTACGCAACGCATTTCAATTTTAATTCTGTGTCTTCAGCCGGTTGAGCCCCCTTCGTAAATGATTTCATTGATCTGCCAGTTATGCTCACTTAATGAAATTCATATTTTGTTGTTATGTACTGGTTATGTCGCATGTATTACTATATTGTAGGTGTGTACATATGTATTTATCTTTATATGTAGTTATATATGTATATTCTTAAATGAATGCTTCGTGACGTTTGAATTATTCTATACGCTTTGGATAGGTTTCATTTGATGACTTGCTTCGCCAGTTAAGGTGATTGTGCTTAGCATATAAAAGTGGTTTTTGAGTAAAAAAAAATATTGAAAAAGAAAATAAAACAAGAAAAAGCGTTAAGTTTGGTTGCACCGAAGCTATAATACACTAAATAAAAAAAACTTTCCATACAAGAATTTGATTTCGACCGTTCAGTTATTATAACAGCTATATGCTATAGTAGTCCGATCTAAACAATTTATTCGGATTCTATAGTGTGGCCTTGGACAATGTTCTGTGCCGATATTCCTGAATCTATCTTGTCAAATAAAAAATGTTTTATGCGAGGACTTGATTTGAATTGGTTAGTTTGTATGGAAGCTTTATGCTTATTGCTCCGATATCGGCGATTTCGATTAATAGTAGTTTCTTGCTTGGGCATGGCTAAATCGACTCAGCTCGTCCCGCTGATCATTTATATATACTCGTACACATGTACATATATTTTATACGAGTCTTCAACATTTCCTTTTGACTGTTACAAATTTCGTGGCAAATTTAATACTCGTATACCCTGTTCATGGTATAAAAATGTATGGTTTAAGAAAATATTAATATTAGCATATAGATGTATGTATTAGCCTGGTCTTTTGTATGTCTGTATATATTTCTCGTATATGGTAAGATTGCGTGTGCATTTATACATATGTACATATGTATATAAAAATGACAAGTAATACTTTCTAGATAACTTTATAAGCTTAATTTATCAACAGACTATATTTGCCAACCTTCGCACACTTTAAATGTAACACTCTACGGATTGTTTGTCGCAATTCTGATTTTTTAATTTGGTTTTCAGCAGAAATACACATATAAAAGATTATGTGTATACAGTAGGGACTCGATAAATGTTGCAAAAAATATTTTAGCCGTTGATTGTGCTCAAAAACTCAACAGAAGTGTATATAATTTTCAGAAAAATTATAGGAATCCACTAATCGAGGCCCCACTGTATATGCTTGAACACAAATAGACACACTTTTTATCTTAACGCTTAATTTCACAGAAAAATTCATCAATTGGCATTCATGTTCACGTACATTTCCATATATAAATTACATACATATCTACAATAGTATATAAAATCTATTATAAGCAAAAATAAAAAAAATCACAGTCATTGGTGACAATTCAATTGCATAGCTTTTAAGTCAGCCTTTTTCTTGTGCAGCTCATCTATATTTCTTTGCTCTATTGTTAAAAAATCTTTTCTCGCATTTATGACTCATCCATTGTTTGCTAGCCAAGTAAATGGCGCACACACACACACTTAGTTATGCTTTAGAATGCGATATGGGTGATGACCATGAAAAAATAAATTACGGGATATGATAAGCAGTTTTTTCAAAAGTAGCACTAATGGTTACTCAAAATGTTATTGACATTCTTTCGTTACTTTTAAGGCGCCTAATTGTATGCAACTTTTCTTTTTTGTATTTTTGCTACTCTAAAATGTTTTTGCAATGCATTTAGGTTGATTATAAATATGAAATTATAGTGTTAAAAATAAGTTGAGAACAATGAACAAACCTTCAACAAAACGATCTACAAAAGTACCATATATTCGACAATCGTGTTAATTCTTTTTTTTTTTTCAAAAAATTTAAAAAATTAAAAAAAGTTTCAAAAATTTTAAAAAATTTTAAGAAAAAATTACGAGTAAAATTTTTACGAAAAAAATAAATTTAAAAAAATTAAAGTTTTTAAAGAAAAAAACACATAAAAAAAAATGAACTGACTCTGGAAATCTATCTTTGCGTCTTGGTTGAATGCAGATTAAAAATCCAGCTAAGCATACAAATTTGCATTCTAAATATCCTTCCCGCATATTCTAGCACAGTAGATATATCATATATCTAATCCTCACTGCAAACCAAACAAAAATTGTCCTTAATCCGACTTAAAAGCTGTCTATTATCAATCTGTTTTTTCGCTTCTACCTTTCCACCAAGCCCGCTGAGCTAACTGCGCGCACATACATATATACATTATTTCTGTCTTGTGCTCCGCCTGACTAACTGGCTGGCTTGTTAACCAGCTGCCACTGTCGCCGACAACATGTTCCACCGTCGCTACCGGCATTCGCACACAAGTGTTTGCCAGCTTCCAGAACATCTAATATTAGCTCATAGTAGTTTGCGTAGTGAATCGGCAATGTCTTTGCTGCGACAATGCAGATGTGTACAAGATGGCGGGCGGAAATGTGTATGTGTTGCTGCTTGTGCAGGAAGCAATGATGTCTATAGACATACCAACAATACCAAAGAGTTGATAGAAATATCCAAAGACATATTCATATGTATATGTATTGATAATGTTGTATAAAATATAAACAAAAAAAATTATCACTGTATCAAATGTGACTAGTTACTTATCAGTTCGTTTCGAACTACATATGTTCTGCAAATTGTGCAAGTAAATCAAATTCAAGCTTCTAAGCGAAGTGCAAGATTGCCTTCAAACGAGACAAAGACAAAGACAAAGAAACGTTGCTGACAACTTACAAGGCAATCGGCCGGCCAATCTTAAACTACGCCACTCCAGACGTCAGAACACTGCACTCCGGACTATTACGGGATGCCTCTTGATAAACCCAATCGAACACCTACCAAAATCAAGAGGTATTTTCTTGATTGAACAATCAGAATCAAGTTATTGTATGGAAAACAGATATCCTCACCAAAATTGGCAAGGGTTACTTTTCAGTGTTCAGATCGAACACCTATGGCGGGCTCGGATGCACATTTTTTAGAAGCTACTAATGGAAGTTAACAATTAGTTTAGAAACAAAAGAATACTGCTATTATGGTCAAAATAAGATCCTGAATACGATTTTTTTAGTGATGTTTTGTTATTTTTGTATATAAAACCTGTTGCTAATAACAAATTTTTTGGTAAAAAATATTTTCGTTGACATTAAAATTGCGTCTAAACTATTTTACGCTCCTAGCTAGTAACTAGTCAGTAAGTAGTTTCAAAAATACCTACTATGTAACTAGTGTATGCAGCAGCTATCGCGAATTTTGCTACGTAGTCACAAAGACAAAACAAAAGCACAAATCTTACAATAGCAAAAGTATGACGTTGACGGTTGTCGGCATGAAAGGCAGAGTTGTTGCAACAAAACAAACATACCTACACATATACAGATCAGCTGTAAGTGTGAATTTAAAATTTTTTGTTTTATTATGCTCACTCGCTTTGATAGTGTGCTTACAAAAACAACTTGACATTGAGTGAATGCAAATAAAGCAGGATAAAAATTGTTGAATCCTTAATGAAGTACACACATACATATACGTATATAGAAATATAGCCGTCTTTAGCACTTTGTGTAATGGTTGGTGAGTGATATGGCTATTTAAGTTTAAATGAATGAGTGTGTGTATGTATGTATGTATGTATGCATGGATATTCAGTTGGAAAACCTCATTACACTTTACGGCGCTGTGCAAATGCACCCATTTATATTTTTTCTTTGTTAAAATATTACAAAAAAAAGTAAGCATGTCTCTTTTGCAACTTTTTACTTTTAATTTTTTTGTTTCTGTTTTTAATGTTACTTTTTGTTTTTGCTATTATTTCCGTGCACAATGCAGCAATGTGATTTATTTTAATTACTTAAGTAGCTGCTGCAATTCTTTTATGACACATTTCATTTGTCGCATTATTTATTATGTCAGTCATATTTCAATTTTCTTTCTTTTTGCTACGCTGAGAGAAATTGAAGTTTGTTTGTCAAATAAGCGTCGACAGTTTAAATTTTCTGATTTTTTTTTGCATGCTGTCAATTATAATTAACTATTATTAATGTTTGTGCTTGATTTTATGTATTTTAAACCCGTTGCAAGCTTGTATATGTACACACCACTCTAACCACACTTTTTGTGCGCTTTCCATTTAAAACAACTTTAACCAACAACTTTAACACACTCAAGCATTGAATGCCATTGAATGTTGTTCGTCACGCATATTTACTTAATTCTTACAGAATTGATGATATTGAAGACAATTCAATACTTCGCAGAGGTGTTCCCGTAGCGCATTCGATTTACGGTGTACCCAGCACCATCAATGCAGCGAATTATGTGCTCTTCCTGTCGCTACAAAAGGTGCAACAGTTGGGCCATCCAGAGGTATTTCATACATTTGACTTCATATTTCAGCATTAATTACTAAAGCAATCTTACTTCGGCAGGCTACCAATGTCTACACGGAACAACTGCTGGAATTGCATCGTGGTCAGGGCATGGAAATCTATTGGCGCGATAACTTCACTTGTCCATCCGAATCGGATTACAAGCTAATGACCATACGCAAGACGGGCGGTCTATTCATGCTTGCCATACGTTTGATGCAGCTGTTTAGCGAGAATAAGGAGGACTTCACCAAGCTGACCGCCATACTGGGCTTGTATTTTCAGATACGCGATGACTACTGTAATCTCAGCTTGAAAGAGGTGATTACATTAGTGCTTTTATTAGTAGCAATTTTCTTTAATTTTTTGTGTTTTTTCAAACTGTAGTATACGCAAAATAAAAGCTTCGCTGAGGACTTGACAGAGGGGAAATTCGGTTTTCCCGTTATACATGCCGTACGTTCGCAGAAGCATGATAAGCAGGTTTTGCGTAAGTTTTTGCTCATTATTTAATTAAGAAAAAAATCATATATAATTTTTAAATTTAATAGATATTCTGCGTCAACGCACTCAGGACATAGAAGTTAAGAAATACTGCATTGGTTTGCTGGAGAAGCTAGGCAGCTTTCAGTACACGCGGGAAGTATTGGAGTCGCTCGACAAGGAAGCGAGAGCCGAGGTAATTGTATATTGAGAATTTCGAGGTTTGAGAAGAAAACTGAATTTAATTATGGTCAGGGTTGCGAATTTTTAGATTAAAAAATATTGGTTTAATAAATAGATTTACTATATTTTATTCCAATTTTGGTGTTAAAATTTTTATGATTAAATTAAAAAAATTAAATTGAAAATTTTTAATCCCAAATATCATGTATTTCAAAATCAGAATAAAAATTTAAATTTTAATATAATAATGTTGACATTTTATTCAAAATAATCTTTCCTTCTCAAAAGATAATGAAAATGGTAGAACACAAAGTACGCTAACGCGAAAAAGTGGAAATAAAAAAAAATATTTTGGGATAAATTTTATAAACTTAATTTATTTCACAATTAGATTACTTGGTTTTTTTTTGTAAACTCGAAAAAAATTTCCATTTTTACAAAACCAAATACCGGATTGAAAAATAAAAAAAAGTTTTGAATCGTTAAAATCGAGTTAAAAATAAATGTTAGGAAATTCGAAAATTATTTTAAAAAAAATTTCGAGCTTACAAAAAAAAATTAAATTATTATGTAATGCATTATTTGGAATCCTGATTGATTGGATAATTAAAAAAAAAAATTGTTTCTAAAGACTAATTTCCCTTACCACCAACTACAGGTCGCACGCCTGGGCAGTAATCCCTACATGGATATGTTGTTGAACAAGTTGTTGTCTTGGAAATCAAACGAGAATCACACCAATCACAATGACTTGCCATCGCCGAGCAATCACAACAGCAATTAACAACCAAAAAGGCAAAAGAGGGAAACTTGAATTGACGCAACAGTTAATTCCACACCCTCTTTTGCTGCTAAGAGTGAAATGAATCTGATAGAAGTTTTCTTGCAAAAACTTAATATTTTTTAAAATATTCAACAAGCGCCTATTAAAGCCTAAATTAAATATTAATTTTAAATTATCACATTTACACCAACAACACACGGAAAGCAAAAGCGAGGAGTAGGAGCATACGATCCACAATTTCTGGTACACTCAAGCGCCTAAAATAGATTTTTAAACAAAACTATATACATATATACATGCATAGTTGTATTCTCGAAATAACATAACATAACGCATGGACCATGTAAATAATAATATAGAAAATAAGCAGGCTTCAAAAAAAGTATCGATGTTCGAAATTTTGTATTTCGATTTTTGTTGTTTTAATAATTTGCATAATAACAGCATTTTATGAATTCAACTATATTTTTTATATTTTTAAGCCAAACAACTTTTTTGTATTTTGGTTATTATATTATGTAGTAGTATTATGTTTTGAGAACTTATTTGCGCTATTTATGAAGGAAAGTTTGTGAAACATTTTTTAATATGCAATTTGTTAAGGCATTTCGATTCTACATGATATACACTTATATTGTTGTAATGCGTGTTAAATTTTTAATAATACTTGTTGAAAACGTATTGATTGTAAGCAAAATAATTCCAATTCTCTTTAAGTACTCGCGTGTGTACTTAAGATTCTAAATCGATGTATTTAACTTGAATTAAGCAATTTTTTATTAAAAATTAAGGAGAAAGTTATTAAAATGCAAAAGAAAAAAAATCACTAATTGAATTGACTTAAAATTCGCACGTTTAAAAATATATTGTTATCGTAATAACCATAAAACAAATGCATACTTAAGTACACATACACAATCACATGCACGCAATATAGTGATTATGGCTGAGGCTTGCTAAATAATGGTTTAGCTTAACATTCATTTATAATAAATTCAAATAACTGATTTCATTGTTAAAATATTATAAATAATGGCCATCGTATTTTTTTTGTTTGATTTTAATTTTTAGTTATATATAATACTACAATATTTTGTGTAGGCCTCAGTCAACTTATCACACACAACAGCACTCACATACAAGTAAAGACTTGCAGAAATGTTTGTAAAGCATAAACAAATATTTTAAATAACAAAAGTAATTTATATGTATTCGCAATATTATATATATACATATATATACATTTATAACTGGACGCACGGCTGGAGAATGTTAACTTTTTTCAAATGAAATGCACTGCAGTTTATTGCACATTGCACCACCTAAAGTATATAAGTATACATACATATACATATATTAATATTAATTAATACATAAATAAATATATTTTTATTCATATAAGTATTAAATACTTGCTACAGAGAGAATTTATGAAATTTACGGAGTACAGCCTATTGTAAACAAAGAAAATAATTATGAGATTGAAAGTAATAAATTTAAAACTGATAAAAAATAAAATGTATGCATATTTCATTTATAAACAAGAAATGGCGAACAAAGTATAAAAAAGATGCAATTTCATAAGAAATTATAATTCATACTAAACACTGCTAAGCCTTGCAAATGTAAATGCGGGTTTTTCATAAGTGTTTTTCGAACATAACCTAGAAAAAGAATTTTTGCTTTCATTTCATTTATAAGCAAGAATTTGCAACCGAAGTGTTAAAAATATGCAATCTTTTAAGAGATTGTAGCACACATTAATCACACAGGTCTTGAAAAAAAAAAAATATTGATTTTTTATAAGACTGTAACCTCACTTTTCGTGCTATAATAGTTAAATCCGATTACTAATTGTAAGCGAAATTGAAATTCATGTTTTCAATGCATTCTGTATTGTGTATTGGAATCATTTAATTACATATTGTATACATAACTAACTATAAGTTTACATGCAATACAAATATTTTTTAGTAAACATTTATAAATTTTATTTTCTATCTCACAAGTAATTATTCATATCTATGTATTGTATATATTTACGTACTTCACATATTATATATGCGTATATCTATATTATATTATTTATATTTACTATATTATATTCATTGATATTATTTATTGTTTTTTCTTAGTATTTCGCTTAAATAATATATACTTAATTTAGACAATAATTTAAAGCATATTTGTTTTACATTTACTACTAACCAACAAATATAAAAATGTTTCTTTTTTATATTAGATATTTATTTATTTTTGTTAAATTAAGTATTATGAATGAAGATACATTTATAACAGTAAAATTTGTGCAATTATACGACTATCTTTCTCACTATAAGCACATACATATGTTGGTATGTATTCATTTACCAAGCATTATATATATACTTTTATATATTTTTATAGTACACCTTTGCTTTATAAGCATTCATACGTATATATGTGTGTTTTATTGTTTCATTTGCATATAAATAAACATAATTAGCGTAGCATAGCACAGCTTGTATTTATATAATTGTAGTCACAAAGCGCATAACATTTGATAACTGCAACTACAATATTTGAAACAGCGTCACAACAAAAACAATTTGTTTACAGATATATACGTCAATATTGTTTAATTTATTTTTCCGTTTTATGCTTGTGTTCAGCTATCTATAACTATTTTTTATACATTGTTAATTTAATTTAAGGAAGTATACACATACACATAGTCTAGGAAAATTAGCAAGTTTTGTTTTTATAATTTTAAATTCGTTTTTGAACGTGTAATATATTCGTACATAAATATTATATGTATATTTTGTAACTTTAAAGTAATTAAGTGCACATACTTAGCATATATTCCTGTAATTTCAAGTTTTACTCTTTAGTTTAGGCGATAAACATTTTTAGGTGTTAACATCACTTAGTATACACTGTTAATTTGTTATATGTGGTATATAGCATCATATATATCATATATCAGAAATTTATTAGTTTTATTGTATGTTGGATAGAGTTTAAGTTATAGTTTCATAAAATATTCAATATAATAAACATTTTTTATAAGCAACTCGTATACATATATTTATATTAGTAAATAATATATTAATTACGTATATATGTATGTAGCTGTATAAATTTAAATTTTATTTTTATTATTACGTAGAGACATTTTTTTGTGGAAATTCCGTTCATTTTACTTTTAATTTTTATACAAATTTCTATTGTTCCCTCCAACACAACCACTCATTCATTTCAAATTTATAAGTCACCTTATATATAATATTTTAAAGAATATTTGGCAGAAAATGCAACGAAAATGTATGTATGTAAGTATGCAAGAATGTATGTACAAATGTATTTGTAAAACAATAACCTCACAAGATAACGTTGTTGCTACGCCGTAGCCCCAGCGTCGGCCTCATTGTAGCTAAATCGCAGTTAACCTTAGCCACACTAAACTATATGTGTTCTTCTAATGAGACTTACTTCAAACTGTGACAAAATACTCGAATTTGTTGCTTATCTTGCTAAATGAAGTATGACAATTGCCTTTTTCATACTATTGCTCTGTGGCGTCGTATAGCGCGATACACTTTAGCTGATTTCCTCCGACATGAAAAAATCACATACAAAATATAGCACGGCGGAAAATTGGACTTATTTTTGAGGCACAACACTTTTTACTATATAATTACGGTTGAAATTTTTTAATTACCACAATATCTAATGCGAAATTCACAATTTTAAATTGCCAGTACGAAGTAGAGCGAAAACTGTTGAAGAAGCGCGAACGATAATTAACGGTTCAGATGACGTTTCAAGTTTGCTGAACACAGGGTGCACATGCGATTCAATTATTTTCATGTATAATTATTTAGAACTAATTATATAAATATATTTTTTGTTATTAAATTTAATAAAAAGTAAAATTTAAAGGTATTTATGGGTAAATAAAAACTTTCTTTTTAATTGTTATAGTTTAATCTGTGTACAGAAATTCGCTTATGTATGTGTGCATTTTAAAATATACAAAATAATTTGCAATAATAAAATTAACGACATAAATAGTTTTAAAATTTGTTTGAAGCTGTTGATGTATGTAAAATACAATAGTTAAGCTTTTGCATAAAATATATTAATATTTTAATTTCTGTAACAGCATGCTAACGATAGCCGAAAATTTTCTTAAACTTCCTGCCATTCTGTGTTTATTCAGCTTCGTTCGCCAAAGCTTCCGCTAGCTGTCAGTTTCCGTCAAGTGAAAATTTATAATATTTTACAGTATGTAAAAATTAAAAAAGTCTCTAAAAATTAAATTTGTGTATTCAATTTAGGTGAACATTTTTGGTGTTGCTATTATTATATATAAAAAGTTGTGCGCGTTTTCAATCGTGTGGTAGTTAAAAAGTATTCCTGGATGTGTTTTTTTTAGCTCAATTTTGTGAATAAAAAAGTGAGTGTGTTTGACTGTGGGAGCACCGGATGCAAATCCGTTAAAAAGTTTCTGGTGATTCGTAAATTGTGAGTTGAGGTGAAGCGCAGTGCTGGTATTTTCAATATTTCAAGTGCAATGTCTTTGCAAAAGTTGAGGTAAGTCACATTATTGAAGAACAATAACAATAAAAAATTAAGAATCTCTTGTTATATGTGTGCATGTGCATACTATGTAGGTACAAATGTATGTATGTGTGTATAAACATTTAAATATATGTATATGCCGGTTTGTTTTCGCTTTGCGCTTGGGTTTGCAGTCTAGATTGCAACTGTTAATATGCAGTGGCGGCAACAGCAGTTGATACAGAGAATGTTAATAAGAACAGAGAATGCTAATTAGCATTGAATTCTTTAACATTTTCTACTCGTACAGTTAATTCAATGTTACAGCAGAGGCTATTAATGAAATTTGTTAAAATATTTTAAAATACCTAGAACTGATGAAATAATTTGTTTAGAAAAAATGTTGAAGTGTTATTTGTGCGCATACGATCTGATAAAATATGACCGATATTGGCCCATATAACCTGCGTATCTAAACCGAATCGATAAAAAAATTTCTTAGATTGGTTCAACCTTTTTATATGTTCGCGTGAGCCTAAAAGCCAATTTGAAGGCGGTAATAAAAATTTGTATTAAAATACGTGATACGTGCTCTTGTTTTTGTCAGTCGGGGTAAAGTTTGATCATTTTTAATCGTATAAATCGTATGTCTGCAAGGTGTATCGGGTTTACAATCAACCAATGCAGTGAGTCAGAAATCACTAAAAATAATCGCCAAATTTCAAAAGTTGGGTTTCTAATTGCTTCTGTATTTACCGTATTTTCCGCAAATGGACTGCAGCGGCGTTTATCAGTTCTCAAGCCGTCAGAGAAGCTCGCTGGATAGAAACTTAGTGTTAAATTTACATTCGAAACTCATATTTATGTAACTCAAAGAGCATACTTCAAGCCTTAGACTAATTTTCTGGACCCATGAAAAATAACTATTTCCCAAGCAATCCCCGTAATACTTAGTTTACATATGAGACATGCGGTTAAGACGGCTTAGTGATTACACTTCTAATGCCTTGTCTGGCATTCTTGCTAAACACATTTGCATTGAGACATAGTAAATACATACATACAAATATACAGCTTTACTTAATGGTGATAAATCAATTACTGCTTGGCTTTGTTAAATTACTAAGCCACTTCCAAGCAAGCGAATACCTTTGCAAAAAGCACACCTAAATATTTTGGAATTAAGTTTGCTCACACGCACTAACTAATAAATTTACGTAGGTATTACTCGCATAGCTGGCGATTCGTTTATGTGCCGTAAATCTTCTGTGATTCTGTGATTTTCATTAGCCAGAAATGTCTGCCTGCAATTTCATTGAATATGTTGCCCAATTAAAATAATTACAGAGCTTAATCAACAGTAGTCACTAAAGTTATGCACACACACACTCACACTCACATAGACAATGGCTGATGATTGCAGTTATGCAGCTATTTGCCGTAAACTCTGCATTTTGCTAGAATTTCAACAAGTCACCGAGGCTAAATGTTGTCTGCGGCAGGTTGAGTGCTGCATAGCCAGTGACGTAGAGTGGACAACGGCAGACAGTAGTGCATGCGACGCATGAGTGGGTGCAAGTTGGCTGATTTGTGGAGCCTAGATTTCGTTTGTCGTCCGACATTTGGTTGCCTGGCTTGTGTTTGCTGCTGGTGTATCGCTTGTCGGTGTTAATTAATTAAACAGCACTTTAACTGTTCTGTGTGGATATCAGCTATGCGCTTGTTGCGCAGGTTGTTGTGTTTGTTAGTGCACTTTATATGGCTGTTGCAGGATGAGGTTTGTGTGTGGCATGAAAGTTGCTCGTATCACTTATCATGGTCACTGTCAATGCCATTGGAGTGGAGCATATGCTATTTATAATAAATGTTGTGCTTGTTGTTGTTGTACTTGATTTTATAGTTGTTGTTGTTGTGTCTGTTGATTGAATTGTGCTGTAACTCGAACTTTGCGCTGTGGTTGTCAATTACGCCATTGTTGTTGCTGTTGTTGTTTTTGTAATACATGTTGCATGCTCTTGTTGTTGTTTTTGTATTACATGTTGCATGTTCTCTTGATGATGACTCGTTAACATTCGCACTGTCTCGATAATATATCAAATCTTGCAATGCTTGCAACACGAGCACTTTAGCTGGCTGCTCCTTGCAACGTTGCCACTAACGACAATATGTGCGGTGGCCTTTGCTATGCTGCTGTTTGTGACTCCTTTTCTTATTGCTATACTTTTCTATTGTGTTTTTATTGTTGTTTTATTTGTTGTTCTACACCTAAATTCATCAACCCTGTCCACACCACCAGCGCCTCAGACAGCTGATTCGAGGTCAACTTGTTGGTGTTGCAGTTGTTGTTGCCGTTGCCGTTGCTGGTGCATCGCCACGCTTACTTGGCGTCATCAGTCCGATATCCTCACTCATTGTCTCACTCAAAAGTCATACATTCAAATCGGCCATCATTTTGCGAAAATCATTTAGCGATCCATAAGTATCGAAATCATCACAGCCATCCAATTCACTGCCTCGTGAGCCATGTCGACTACCCGGTGCGCCGGCGCCCATATTCGTTGGACGTGGTAAAGTCAGTGGCACAGGCAACAGCTCTGGCATTACAGAATGATGTGTAATGAGCGCGCGCAATGAGGAGAACTCCTTGGTGAAGCCCTGCAAGAGTATGGGAAAAAAATTTGTGTATGAGCATTTCGCTTCAGCACATTTCAAAACGGTTTCAAATTACGACAGCATGTAACTAACCTTGATTTTATAGCCACGCGGCGTACGCAGTATCAGGTAGTGTGCCACTTTGGGCGCGGGCGGTGGCACGCGCAGTGATAATGCAAAACAGCCGGGTTTGGTGCTACTCTGCCGCACCAGGAAGGCGCCAGGGCTCTGACGCGACAGCACCTCCAATGAGATCTCACGCGGAATGCCGGCTTGAAACCAGGCGGCGCCTTTCAGTTCGTGCTGCTCCGCCAAGCTGAGATTGTCGAGCCGTAGCGGCGCGCTGGGCGCAAACATCTTTGGACTGGAGTTGGCTATAGCAAAAAAGTGGTTTACATTTTATTATACAAATGCATTCTTCTCGTCTTACCACTACACGTTTCACGCAGATACTTTTTCTTATAGCTAAATTCGGTGTGTTCCTGCAAGCCCATATGCGCCGCTTCCAGCGTGGGCAGCGCGGTCAACGACTGCCGACAGGAGTCGCCGAATTTGTTGGTAATCATTTTCTCTGGTTCGCAAATGGCTTCGTTCACATAGCCATCGGAGATGGTTTGTGATGAACCTGAATTGAGTGAAGATGAGGCTGTATGCACCAGTGGGCGACTATCTTCGGTACCACGCAGCAGACCCATACCCATTGTGAGGCGTTTGACCTGAAAATAATTGAAACGCAAAATGTAGTAAAACTATTAAATATAATAGCCACCTTCAATTATTTACTTTCCCGGTATTGTAATTGGTGTTTAATAAACTGCAAATATGGACTCGTTCAATATTGTAGGGTTCTTGTCTTTCCAAAGTTTCTAATTCTAATAATTTTATATGAACTTTAGTTTTGGCATGTGTTAGTTTTTTGTTTGATTATTTACTGCTGTGGTATTGAAAATAGAACCCAATCGGCTCGGCTTCGCAGGGAAAATAAAGAGAAATCTTGTAAATAAAACTATTAGAGCCATTATCAATGACCGACAACAGTCAAGTTTAAGTCCGTGCCTGCTTCAGTGGGAGTTCTTACTAAACTTTACTATGATATTAATATCCTTCATAATTAAAGACCAGAAGACTCAGTTACTGGTTATATCCAATAAGTTCTGTGGATATTTTAAGTAAATTTTCAACTTCGAGTACTTACTGGTCCCTTTGGATCCCTTATACTTAAGGACTCGAAGGTCCTATGTGATTAGTAGAGGACTCAGCTACTTTCTTAGATTAATGCAAATATTTTTGTGTCTGTGCTTTTATTCAGCTTTTAGTCTTCTAATTTAATTTCATTCAATGAAACTTTCACGTCCCCCGTTTACCTTCCTAATTTACCATCCATTTGGATTAAAGTAGGAAAAAGAAGTGTTAATGTTAAATGAATGTCACTAAACCAGTTCGATTTCTCATTTTAAATGCAAATAGCGCCTCAAGCGATTTTAATTCGAGTACTTAGCATCTGCTGCAGGTTCAGTTCGAACTTTAGTGGCGAAATTGGAAAAGTTTTAGCGTGTCAAATTCGTGGTTAACCACAAATGCAGCAAAACTTTCGCACCTAGTAAATCTATTGCGTGTGATTTGTTTTTAATTTTTTTGAATTTACCAACTCGCTGAGTGAATGAATTGGTTTGACGTTGAAATTAATTAAACTGTTGGGTTTTCTGTTCTTTAGTCGGTTTTTCATTGCAGGTTAATGAGTTTTGTTGTAATGAACTCGCCATTTCAAAGCATCTATTCAGAAGTTGGTATGGTTGATAAGGTAATAATGGGATAAATACGAACAACCTCAGAGTAGGATCTCGAATAGTTTAAGTTCTGTAACAGCACTTTGTGTTTCGATAAGGTTGAAACTGAGTAAAATGATGCTACATTCATACATTTTCGATGATGTAAAAAAGTTTATAACACAATATTGCATAGTCTGTTTAAGTAGTGATTAAGTCCACTAATTTAGTATCAAACAGCTGATGTATTAGAATCGCAACGATTTTATGAGATTACGAGAGATATCCAGCTGCTGTCGGCAATAATAGAGAAATAGTATTTATTGAAAGTTCCTTTTGTGTAAAAGAATAAAGATGAGAAACTAGAAGTATTACTCGATGAATATAGGCAAGAACAAGAAAAGGTCCCGAAATCTTTGGAAGTCACTCAATCAGCAACTTCAAAACTCTTAAAAGCATACACAACAATATTGACGATATCGGCGACATTTTCTTATGACGACCATCTTCCTATCTGCCTACTTTCTATATTATATACTTGTATATACCATTGACCAAATAGTAGGCACATTCGGTCACCAAAAGTTTATTCCAAAGAGCTTATAATTTTACGCGTAGTATGAGTTCTTTCATCGCCTTACTGAAATCATTTAGAAACCCGTCTTCGATTTTAAAAAAGTATGGGCACATAATGCCTTTGGTATGCAAACCCTTCCTTAAAGTAACCGTTTCTGAAGCTGAATGGAAATTTAGGGAATCCATTATTTACTAAGTTCAAAGTTGAATGAACGCATTTGAGATTTCGATGGTTTGGGACATATTTTCTTACCCTAAGCAAGTTAGAGGAGATGACTAGCTGAGTGACAGATTATATCAGAAAATCAAATTTTCTTTTGTCCAAACATAATTCTTTTTTTTAAATTCCTAACACCCTAATCCACCACCCACATTAACCGATTTTCCGGCAGTTCAAGATTTTGCAAGCTTTAATTCTTCTCTTATTCCATAATTGTTAAATCTTTTAAACAAAACGAGGTTCAATATTTATGGAAGTGAATATAGTACCTTGAAATGAACTTTAAGACTTTAAATATATATCTTTTATATCTTTTCTACATACAAAAAAGTTCGACTAAATCCATATACTTATTCCGCTGTCCAACTACTCTAACAACAAAAGTCTACAAAACCATGGTCATTCTTCTAACAAAGCTAACTTAGCTCAAGTGCTGAACGGAAACGAATTTGAAGACAATGGAAATAACAAAAGGACAAAGCGAAAAATGAGAACAGAGCATACACTTTACAGCGATTTATAAAGGTACCATACAATACTACTAGGGTATACATGGGTATGTGCATGCATCAAGTGTGCAAAAAACAATGCCGAGCGTTCATTGACTGCAATTGAAGGTCGACTGAATTTTCGGGCTAAGGACACCAAATCTCGAACAGCATAAGTCTGTGCGCTTGTGTTAGCGAGCAGTTAGTAAGCTTATTCAACCGTCTGGCAAATTGGGTAAATGCATGCCAGATAAGTATGTATGTATGCTTGTACTTATGCAACTAACGCACACACGCTTACATACCTGGTCACATCTAAAGCTATCTAAAGCTTGGTAGGCACACCGGTAGTTCAGTAACACAGACCGAAGAGTGTCTCGCCGGCAGCTGTTTTGTTTTTAGACGACATACAACCTTGTCAACCGGTAAATAAGACATGGGCACACACCAAAAAGAACACATGAAAACTTAAAACACACAAAATGAAGAAAAGCAAAGTTCCTGAAGTGCTTTTTGTGATGTGTATAAATGAACTAAAAAACCGGGAGCTTATCGGGAGCATATTAATCCTTTTATATCCGCCGAAGCGCCAGTGAGCATCTCGCACTTCAAGTGCATTTGCATGTTTTTGTGATTGCACTCCCAAAAACCACCCTGTAGGAAATTTTTCTTGTATGATTTCAAGTTTTTTGATTGTGTTGATTGGGATCCTAAGTATTCTAGTTTGAAAAAAGAGAAGATAGCAATGAAAACTGGGGAACTTAGTAGTAAGACTAAAGGACACCCACGAAGAGAAAACTTGCACAAGTAAATGAAAATAATTGATATTATGAAATGCAGGTCTAGTAAAATAAATCAATTATTTTTCGAATGGATAAAGTAATTAAAGTCATCAAGTCTGCCCGCCATGTAAGCACTGTTTGTACCGTGTATGAGCTAAATACCGTTGAAATCATTTAATAAAGACTGGATACATAAAAAAAGCTCGGGTGCTCATATACCGAGTTCCTATCTGGTGATAAAATGTGTCTTACTAACGACAGCGCTAAGTGAAAATGGTCGTAATCGATATATCGAATAGACTTGCTTCGGCCAATAGGAGTTCCTTTAGGACAACCCCAGGCCACATACTTTGAATGGGACTCGTCAGAAGCTCTGGTAGCTTGGTTGGGGTTGGTCTCCTCATTCACATTATTGTTCGCACCTAGTGACAAGTGATTACTACCAGTTTCTGTCTATTGTTGACGAAAAGTTCGTCTCAAGAGAAGCTTGTGAAAATCGGAAAGAAAAGAGACGAGAGTTTCTAAGAGAATGGCCTTATAAAAGTGCCTTAAAACAAGAAAAAAAGTGTGTACGCAGTCTTCGGATTTAAATGAGCGCCAATTGCATGCGAAGATTTCGAGTTGCCGCTTGATACTAGACCAAACTTTTCTTTATATATTTCTTAATATGGAAAGAGTGTTCCATGACACTAATAATCTCCTTTCTTTCATCTCTCAATATTTTATGAAAGTGTGGGGTAAACCTCGACTCCTCGATCTATCAACTCTACTTAACTGTTACAACAAAAAGCAACTATACAAACAAAAATAAAGAAAACAGAATTTCTATGAAGAGTGAGTCTAAAATACGGGAATTAATGTACCTCTCTTGTTTGGAATCGATTTAAGCATCAATTCCTCTGTTAAATTTGCGATCAGACCACAGAAGACTCGTTTTAAGATTTCTTTTTTTTATGATCGGAATATTAGGAATTTAACGTTTCTCACTACACATGGAACTTCGAAATAAAAGTTGTAAAACTTTCCTACTGGATTGGTATACGCTTGCTTGTATATGTATGTCTTATCAATATCTGTATATTTGACTGTGCCAAAAGCGCGGACGGTAGCCAATTCACTTGCTTTAAATTTAATTTCTTTTGTGCAGTCAGAAATTGGATCCATCGTGTCTTGACTGCGAGCATCCGCAACCAGCGCATGTGAATGGAGGCTTTGCCCAAATGTGAAATGGCCACAAAGTGGCTAACTTTAATTTTATTTTTGAATTTAGAAAAAGAAAACGGAATTTTTACGATTTAACAACAACGTCTATTGCAGTCTATCGCCGCAGCTTACCGCTGGCAGTGCTGCAACAAGAGAAAGGCGTTGCACTGCCATTCACATTCCGGCGCAAACTCACATCCGTATTGTGCTTCGCTCCGGCACTGCGCTCAGACAATGCACCGAGAAGTGCCGCTTTCTGGGCCGCGTGTCACTTACAGGCGTGAAATTCAATTCTACACACATACATATAGAGCGCGCGTTTGTAGGCTATTGTGTTGAGTGCATGCATAATTTTTCGGTTGTGTCTCTAGTTCAAATTTTTTACAACGCTTTTATCGCCGAGATTTATGTGTGTCATAAAGTTTGGAAGTTTCTACCACACTGTAGATATGCACTTGCATATGTGTGTGTGTGTGGCTGTGTTCATTGTTGTGTAATTGAATGTGAAAAACTATAAGAAAAGTTTTGACTTGTAATTTTGCGTCTAGGAGTATTTGTACCCTCTTAGTTGGCATAATTTGAATCCTAAAGTATGTGGTAAAGTACTCGCACATACACAGACATACAAACACAAATCAGTGAACTTTGGTGTTGCTGCAGTTGAGTGCGAATTCAGAAAACTTGGTTGGAATTTTTTGCACTTTTAATGTGTTTGGCTGCCTGACGAGGCATTACATCTCACTCTTGTTGTTGTGTCTACAGTAACACGAAGATATTGTGAAAGATCAGCGTTTTTTCGTTTAAATATATTTCGTTTTTCAACTAACGATTATTTAGTTCAGTGCCTTGAGTTCTTCTAGAACTGACGAACCTTGAGTTTCAAAGAATTTCTCATTTTTGTTAATTCGTTAGAAATTTTGTACGTGATCGGAAGCAGCAGAAACTAATAATATTCTCCATTCCTTTTCGAAAAACTCAGAATAAGCTAAGAGCTAATCTGGCCGCTTAGATTTATGCCAGATAGATGATCTTCTAGATAACTTAGTGGGAATTTTACAACATCCAGGAAGTATGGAGTTTTCGAACAAAAAAAAGCTATTATAGCAACATGTTGCAAAGGTATTAAAATATTGAAAAATGATAATGCAAAGAACTGCTAGTTTATCTTTAAGAGTTTGTTTAAAATCTGCTCTAATTCTGGCGCCTGCTTTAACCGAGTCTTCGTAGAAATACACTCTATCCATATTTCAAGCCTCTAAAAGCGATATTCCAGAACTTAACCGAAACAAGAAACGACTAGCGCGCTTATGTGAACTCGGTCAGAACAATTTATATAATATTTAAGAAGAAGAATATTGCCTTTTCTTAGCTTTATCAAAAATTAAAGTCTACTCACCAAAGGTGGCTTATCCGCCATACGTCGGCAATTATTCATTTCTGTGGGTGAGTTATCCTCCTCGGAGCTCGGTGAACGCGGCACTGCATGTTGACTGGGCTGCAGGTGAGCTTCCAAAGGCGGTTCATTGCAACTGCGTGGGTGAAGACTTAATTAGCTTCAGCATACTTAGCAATAGAGATAAAAATCTATCATTATGTGTAACATACCTTAAGCTTATTTGTGGCAGTAGGTGTATGGGGCGGCGCGTCTGTGTGGGTGACACACGCGACATGGGTTGTTCGACGCGCAAACGTATGTCCTGCATTTTGATGGTGAAATTGCACCGAATATATTTTCTGTTCCAATTTTTTAGTTGTTTTGTGTTGGCAGTTCTTAGTTCAATGAGCTGTAAAGAGAAACTGTGATGAGTCTAAGAGTATTTAGAGGAAAAAAAGTAGGTTTGATATTTTTAGGGGTTTAGAATAGTGTCCAAAAAAAGAAATATTTGGCCTATAATAAGTTAAAAGGGCCGCGAAAGAAAATGTAAAATATAATCCGTTAATCAACTTGACTTTAGTGAGTTTCAAAAAATAGTATGTAGTCGGGAGTGTGGGATATGTTTTGACCAATAAAAGGAGCGAGTAAGCCAATATGGTGACTATAAATATTGATCCCATTACAGAACACCATCCGTATACAATTTTCTGACGATGGTTGTCCTTTCTAAGTCTGCCTTCACTTGGTAGATTGCTTTTTTTAGCAGAAAACGTTCTAGTTGTGGTAACAAAGTGTAATCTCTGAAATTCGATACTCAGTTACTATTGACTAGTCACTGTATATAATGGTTTTTCGATTTTGGATTAGAGCAAATTCGAAGAGTTTGAATATTCATGCGTGAACCAATTATTGCCTCTTAGATTCTGTGGGGGTAGTACGATAAATATAGTAAATTTATTCACTTCCTCTCTTTTTTAACTTTTAAGTTGAAAAAAGCGTCGGATAGCTTTTCAACTATAACACCAATGCTTACTTTCACCACACTTAATTTCCTTGAAAATGTCTTAAGCCCTTTTAAGCACTTGCAAATTTTCAAAAAACCCTTATGTATGTATATAGGTATAAAACAACTACAACAATACAAATATTGCTAAAACAATGCAAACCCGAAACAGCAAGAACAACTGCGGACGAGTAAATTTAACTGCATCTGAGAACGCAAAGTTTTGGCCTTTCTTTATAGCTACATACATAAATATACACAAAAAAGGTGTAGGAGTTCGCCCGCCATTCATGTGGCATCTCTGTTGCGGCAAATTGTGCGGCTTGTCAAAGTCTTTAACTTCATTTAAGTGGCTCTAATGGTACTTTGCCACCGCATATCAGATTCTTGTCTCGCCAGCAACTGTTCTTGTTTCGGTTTTCAAGTTTTTTGTGTGATCAAATATTTGGAATGCTGTGGCCAGAAAAGTTGCTACGCAGATTTGCTAATATTACGACAACAGCTGTCTAAAGCTTAAGTTTATTTCAGGCACAGCGGCCAATTTGATGGTGTCTGGTGCTAAAGCGGTTAAATTTTTATAGACAAGGCTATTAATATTCAAATGTTTGTGTAGCTAAAATTAAGAAAATAGGCTGTGTTTTTCGTGTACATATGTAGATATTTAAGAAATAATCAAATATTTATTTAAATGCTTGAGTAGCTGATCCTTTAATATATCTGATATCTTAAATTTTGTTTTTATTGTTTAAACTATTTAGAGAAGACTTCTCGAATTTAGGCAAAGCTCACCCTATATCTTGATACCTATTCTGAGCAAGGCAAAGACTGTTTTTTCGACAAAAAATGGATCTGTAGCATAGTTAGCAGTCCTAAAGTCACTTTGTATCTTTAATTGTATTTTGAATGAGATATGCAAAGGATTCTGTATTGACCATCCCTTTTATATTTTTTTTATAGGAATTCATTTAATTAACTCCTTTTTATATGATCCCTATCTCGTTTCACAACTTAACACAAACGTGTTAATCTTTTTGTTTGCGTTAGTTTAAAAGCTTTTAGGATGTTTAATAGCATTTTTAAAACTTATTTAAATGAAATAATGGTCAGCCATGCTGCGTAAGGTTTAGCATTTCCCTTTATATACACACTAACGTACATATGTATACCTATATAACAGAAACTTATCACCATAATTGCTTGTTATGAAAACTTTGCTTTAGCAAATACAAAAGGATCTTAAACACAGTTGGCAGCCACTTGAGTAAATAGTTTAAAAAGCTTTCAGTTTTGTTTTTCCTCAAACATAACCTAAAAGTTATCGATAAACCACATAACAATTTGTTGTCGAATTTTATTCAATGTAAACGCCAGCCAACAAACCAAATTTCAACAAACAATAGACAGACATTAGCGACATTATGCTTTTATGAGCATATGTGTGCCATAAAATGCTTAATAAGCTTAAAAAGTCCTCCGGCCGTTACGCAGTTACGGACTTTTTGTTTTTGTAAGTTTTGATATTTTATATGCCATTCATGAATTTTGTCCAGTTTCTAGTCCTTTTATTGCAGTTATTGTTTACACATCATTGAATTTTATGTCGACAAAGGATAAGCTTTCATTTATGTGTGTGTGTGTTATATACTTTGATTTTATTACTAATATTTGATTATTATGAACTCAAGTTTGGCAATCCGATATGCAGTAAGGATACCCATACATATAAACTTTTTTATTTGTGCAGTGAATTGCCTGGGCTTTATTAGGCAGTTGTTATTTAATATTGCTTAATAGCTAACTACAAAATAACGGCTATGAGTGCCACCGTAAAAGATATTTATGTGTGAAAAGTTTGTAGATATATTTCCGTTATTGCCACAAATCGCTTAGTAAAATCTTCTGATAACGGTTTTATATTGATATTTGTTTTAATCGTAAAATATTACTAGGTTCGAAGTTTTTGCTTTTGCTCATATTAAATTTAATATGCTAATTAAAAGTTATAGTTCAGTTCTTGTTGTTCTTTGTTTAAGTAATTAGCTGCCAAATTGCCTGCTTAACTGTCGTATAATAATTACGGCCACATACCATTTGATCAAATTTGAGCCGGACTGGGTCTAATTTACTAGATTGGTAGGATCTGTTTTAGGTTCAGGTAAAGTTTCATCTCCGTTGGTAAAAGTTTGCAATCTGATTTAAGCATCGGAAAAAAAGACGAATGTTCGGGAACCTTAACATGAGGTAATTGAAGGTGATGTATGACGAATTAGAAAGACCAAGACATCGAGATATTTGAACACATTACAAACCTTAAAAATTAGGGTTAAGCTTTAAGAACTTGCACTGGTAGTAGCCGTGAGCAATAGCGCTCATGAAATGCTTAAGAATCCCACTGGAAGTTCGTTTCTTTGATATGTGATTCTAGGTAACCAGAATGGACTTCAATTTATAGCTCAATTAAAGCAATCAACTTGGTAACTATTTATTTTACTTGTCTTTAGAGGTTAGAGATGTAGCATTTGGTAATGGTTAGGTCTTTAATTTGGCGGCCTTTCTTATAGGTTAGAATTGTGAAGTTCTTAAAGCAGACTGTCGTTTAAAGCCTGGAAAAAAGTGCGTACTTTATATTATAAGTACTTTTTATATATGTACATATAGCAGAGAGGCAAGGAGCTATGAATGAAGTTGACAAAGTCTGATCAACCGGTTCAAGTTTTCTATCGCTATGAAATACTGAAGGAAACAATAATCCAGGAAGTCCCAGCATTTTCCAATAAATAGAAGAAGAGTAAGGAGCCATACAAGTTGATAATTAAAAAAAGGGTTTCTGGTTTTACATTTTAATATACTCTGAACTCCCACGAAGTATATAACAATTGGAAGAAAACGTCAAAGATCCCAAAGTCCGTCCATACATAATGATCCACGTAACGAGCGGAGTCGATTTCTACCGTTCTTGAGATATCGATCTGAAATGTTGCACACGTCCTTTCTCCAGCAAGAAGCAGCTGTCGGAAACGAAAATATCAGACAATGAATACAAATTATTATGATTAATTATGTCGTAGAATTAAAAAAGCTTCCTTGTTGCTGTCCTTCTTTCCTAATAAAAATAATAATCTCGGTTCGAAAAAAATTTGCTCGATAGCCATTAATTTTTTTTGGTTTTCAAAGTTCTTTCCCAAACTTTCCGCTGTGAACCCAAAAAGTGGATAAGTTAAAAACTAAAAGTAGAAAGCTTCGCAAAATTTATGATGGTGAAAGTTCTACGAAGGGGTTTTTCCAAAGGCTTAACTAATAACGCTGGCTCAAGCAGCCAGCGTTGCCAATATGTATATATGAATCCTTACTTTAGCCATTTATGTAGGCCAAGTTGTGTGACTAAAGCTGCAGCTAAAATTGGTTGTTACCTGAGCGCTTAGCAAGTTATAAAAAAGATTATTTGGCTCACTGACTTCGGTACGCAGGGATGCATTAATGGATATTACAAAATTTGTTGCAAACATCTAAGTGTGTGCGGGGTTAAAAGTTTTCTCAAGAATAACAACTCAAAACAGGAAGCAACGAGGCAAATGACGCGCAACAAACTTTTGAACCCAAAACCAAAAAAACCTAAAAAGCTTGCGATAGAAAAGTAAAAAGTTTGCGTTGTTGCAGTAAACAAATTGCAGCCAGGTGCACTTCGATGACGCCACTGAAGCAGCGTGGCTGGTTGCAGCTAACGGTAAGGTAAGGTAATTGCTCGTACTTCGGTTCCTGATACAACTTGCCATTGCTGCTGTTGTTGTACGCTGATAATATTTTCATATATTATTATTGTTGTTGTTTTGTGCAGTGCTGCCGTTTTGGCGCAGAACTTTTGCAAACGCAAGCGTAATTTATGATGTTGCACGGTATTTATGCATTTTGTGGCAGACAGTTAAAGTTCACTTTCGACGCTTGCGCTGTTGACGCCAATGATTTGCGCGCTTTTGCCTGCAACTGCTGTGCTTCAAATTGTTTTTTTTTTATATTTTTTATGCATCCTTGCAACAATGGCAGCAGAAATCATGACCACCTACACTGAGGCGCCACTGAGTTACTAAATATTACCGCTGATGACAATAGCATTGAAATTAATGACTTAGACAGTTTTTTTTTACCGTTAAAGTTTTGTAACAAAGTGCTTACAAAACAATGTTGCAAGCCGAAGAAAACCGCAAAGTCTGTGCGGTAAATATTATCAGGGCAAAAAATGTATGCTTCGCTTTCACCTCCTTGACTTTCGAATGAGCAGGGCGAGGAATGGCTTCATGAGATGGCAGAAATTCCGATTGCCACTGTATGCCTGTTTATGTCTCATTGTAGTTGCTTCGAGTGGCAAGTGTTGCTTGCAACTAACATGCATTTGTTATCCTTCCTCAGCG